TTGATTCAATTCAACAAATGTTTATTAAACACCTAATTTGTGTCAGGCACCGTGCTGTACAGTACAGATATGAAGTTGGCTGAAAAATATCCCTGCCTCCCAGGTGGTTCATGTCAAGATAAAAGATAGGCAGTAAGTTTTCACTACAATGTAGTAAGTTCTACCAATGAAGCTCACTGGAGGGGCTCCTAAAGCTGGGGAAGTCAAGGAGGGTGTTACAGAGAAGATAATGCCTGTTCAAAGTCCTAAGGAATGAGCAGAGGTTAGCCTGGTTAAGTCAGCTGACTGAGGGCTTGGAGAAGGGGGATTGAGGCAACATAGCATGAGTAAAGACAGAGAAGCATGGAATGGAATGGGATATTTATGGGACTCTAAATGGTTCAGTTTTGGCTGGATAGTGAGCTGAGAGGGGACATGGGGAAATAAGAGAAAGGAGACTACAAAGGCAGTCAGGGGCCAGAGCAGGGAGACTCCCCGCTATCAAGCAGAGGGACTAAAGTTCACCAGGTGGAGTTCTGGATGGTCATTTCAATTAAGGATTTTAATAAAGGAAGCAACATGCTCAGATACAAATTTTAGTTGAATCATATTTTGGTGGCTCTTTGGAGAACAGAATAGGCAGGAAGTCCACTGAGGAAGCCATGTCAAAAGGGTGGGCAAAAGAGCTTTAAAAGGCCTGGAGTACATATAGATCAATGGAATAGAATTGAGAATTCAGAAATAAACCCTTACATTTATGATTAACTGGCTTTTAACAAGGATGCCAAGACAAACAGGGGGAAGAAAAGCCTTTCCAACAAATGGTGCTGGGAACGCTGGATATCTATGTACAAAAGAATTAACACAGACCCCTACCTCACACCATATATAAAAATTAACTCAAAATAGACCAGAGATCTAAATATAAGAGCTAAAACTATAAAAACTCTTGAAGAAAACATAGGAATAGTCTTCATGACACTGGATTACGCAATGGTTTCTTAGATACAACACCAAAAGCATGACCAAAGACAAAAAACAGAAAAATTGGACTTTATCAAAATTAAAAACTTTCGTGTTTCCGGACACCATCAAGAAATTGAAAAGACAACTCACAGAATGGGAGAAAATATTTGCAAATCATATATCTGATAAGGGATTAGTACAGTAGGTGAGCAGAATTTGCCACTCCAAAATGTGTCTCTTCAAATTGAGGATTATTTTGGGCTGATTATTTTTCAGAACAAAAGACTTAGGAAGAAACTTTGACCTTTCCCCTAACTGCCTACAAGAATTTTAGAAGTCCTGTTCCAGAAAGGAAATATCACGATAGATAACTATAGGATAATATGGTGTGGTAGACAAGGAGGAATCTAGCAAGGCCCATTTGATCAAAGTCCTCTCCATGTCCCATTGTCTCTGCAAAGCATGACAAAAATTTGTTTACCAAACATTAGCTTTCCCATCTCCATGTGAACTGCCTTCCTCCCCTTCGAAGTCTCAAACCACCACCTGCTACATCTTCTTTTGTCTTTAGCTGAGGATGGTATCTAAGGTGAGGGCTTCAGCCATTTTGGTGAGTAACTCAGTCTTCCTGGGTTTCTCCCATGTATACATGTTATTAAACTTTGTTTGATTTTCTCCTGTTATTCTATCTCATGTCAATTTAATTCTTGGACCAGCCAGAAGAACTAGAAGGGAAGAGGAAAGTTTCTTCCTCCCCTACAGTATCCAGAATATATAAAAATCAACAATTAAATGGGCAAAGGACTTGGAAAAACATTTCTCCAAAGGAGGCATACAAATAATCAATAAGCACATGAAAAGATTCTCAGATTAGATAGTGGTGATGGTGGGAAAACTTTATGACTATACTAAAACCATTGAATTATATGCTTTAAAAGGGTGATTTTTATCATATATGAATTATCTCAATTAAGCTGTTGCTCTTTTTATTATTACTATTATTAATAAAAGGCGTTGGGAGAAGGGATGGAAGATTAATAAAGCTTTGGAAGAAGGGATGGGAGATTCCCAGGAGGAATTTGTTGAGAAACTTTAGCAGGTAAAGTTAGCAGGACCTGGTGACGGACTGTTCGAAGAAAGTGAGGAGAAGTCAAAAGTGACAGATTTCTGGAGGAGAGGTAGTGGAGGAATAGAAGGGAGAATGAGATGAAAGACGTATCAGAGCACCATGGCTCTCATGCCACCATAGGAAGAAATGGAAATTAGTGATGGAAAAATAGAGGGGGGGCCAGCCCAGTAGTGTAGTGGTTAAGTTCATGTGCTCCTGGCTTTGGTGGCCTGGGGTTCGCAGGTTTGGATCCCAGGTGTGGACCTAGCACCACTCATCAAGCCAAGCTGTGGCAGTGTCCCACATACAAAAAAATAGAGGAAGATATGGCACAGATGTTAGCTCAGTGACAATCCTCCTCAAGCAAAAAGAAGGAGATTGGCAACAGATGTTAGCTCAGGGCCAATCTTCCTCACAAAAAAAAGAAAGAAAGAAAGAAAGAAAGAAAAAAAGAAGAGGGAAGGGTTTCATTCTGTTCAACAGACATTGACTTAACAACTGTTATGAATCAGGTCCTGGGAGATACAGTTTTCCCTTCAGTGAGCTTCACTGGGAAAGATGGGCCTTGTTGGAAGGCTTAGAGGCTAAGTAAGGCCCAGGAATCTGCATGCAACTCTTGAAAATCTTCAGGATGTTGGCTCTGTGTATTTCTGTTTTCTTGTCATGCAGATAAGGAAACATATTTTACAGAAATGCTAGGGTACTTGCCAAATGTTATGTCGAAAAGGAGACTAGAACTCAGATCTCCTCACTAAATTGCACTATTTACTACAATAGTTTAATAAAAAAACTATTAGACTTTGAACTGAATGTGCTGCTCTATCCTTTAGACACTTGCCAGAACACAACACAACACAGGCAGTCATATGTGTTTGGCCCAGTGAAGACCTCCTGCTGGACCATGCTTCAGAGCCCAATGACCGTGAAGACAATGAGTGTTCATAGTCATTTTCTATGATGTCCCTCAACAGTATGACTTGCAGGAAGTTTCAGCTGCCTGCCCAGCACAGCCAGGTGTCCTCTTCCATGCTTAGCTGAGAACAGATAAATACTTCCAACCCACCTGGCCCCATTGATGAGGTGTTGCAAACAACCCTCTCCTCAAAGGAAATAGATAGAAAATAGGAAAGGTAATTCTGAGTCATTTTGCTGGAAAATTCAAGGATGATGGGCCAAAAAAACCATTTTAGGTTTGGCAGAGTCTGCAGACTTGGGTGACTTGGGTGACTTGAGGAAGTCCATCCCCATTCTGGAACCTGACAACCTAATCCCCAAAACACTACCTTTCAGGTGTGTGCTTCAGGATTTCAGTCCTGAATGCCAGAAAATACAAAAAGGTAAAGAGTAACATTAAACAGGTCTTTATCTTTTATTTACCTCCACCTGATAAACCTTGAATGGCTCTGTTCCCTGCCTTTGATTGTTTTGTCTGCGTATTTCCTGCTAGAGTTTACAAAACAGCACTCCTGAACAGAAAGATAAGAGGCGCATCTATTTGTTGAATAACATCAAGGGGCAAAACTGCTAACTCATCCATTTTGTTGTTAAGTTGCTCAAAAGGATCAAAATACCAATTAACTTGCTGGCTCAGAAATCTTTGATACCGTCAGACTTACTGACATTTTGAAAGTCTTGCTCATACTTGCCTAACGGCTTTCTGATTACGAACAAAGAGGTGCCAATCTGTTTAGCATTTGACCTGTTTTCTTAAATATTTTTATGTATTCAACACTTAGTGGCTAAAAATACTTGACTAGTCACATTCATGAGCTAAAATAATCTTTTTTTTTTTCTTGCTCCACCTCCAAAGTTAAGAAGAAAAAAGAAGTTCAAAGACACTTCTTTTTAAAAAGCCATTTCATTATTATTTTTAATTTAAAAGCTCTTATTGCAAGGAACTTTTTTTACTCTTTCTTCTCCGTGGATTTTGGTGGCATTTGGAAGACTTGATGAAGCAAGCTACATTTAGGATCCATTCTTTTCTAACAGAAAGTTGGAGAAACGACCTTGGACATAAATTTCAGAATGGTGGTAAAAAGAAACTAGAGATGGCTGATGGGGTACAGCAGATTTTATACTGGATTTTACTTTTCCTCTCTGGATACCCTCAGACAGCAGTGCTTGTCAGAGGTGTTTTTTTTGTTATTGTTGTTCCTTATTTCTTTGCAGAAAGTTTTGTGAAAAGTCTACCCATAATCATATGCATATGTGAGGCATGCCTGTGGCAGTTGTTCAAAAAAGAGCAGCATTTCTTTCTTAGGTAAAGGCAGTTTCTGGGTTTAGAAAGCTCCACAGCAATTTATTTCAATAAACACTGATTGAATGCAGTGGATTGAGGAGATTAAAAGTGTGGATGCTGAAGCCAGACTGCCTGGGTTCAAATTTGGCTCTACCAATTACTAGCATGGGGCTTTGGGGAAGTCACTTAACTTCCTTCTGTGCTTCAACTTCCTCATCCGTGGAATAGGGATAATAATAGAGCCTAGCTCACAGGGTTGTTCTATGGACCAAATGAGGGTATACATTTGGGACATTTTAGGTGCTTTGTAAATGTTAGCTATCATATTATATCATGCCAGATCCCAGGACAGAAGTGGGTGCCTGGGTGCATTTACATCTGCCAGAATCTTGATTCACTTATGGAGAGAGACTTTCATCACACCAATTAAATATCTGGAGATTTTAAAACATAAGGATATGTAACATATAAATATCCATGGACATTTTTATTTTTTAAATGTGATCAGAAGGGAGCTTAATCTGTCCTCTAGATCACTGCAATTAGTTGGAGCACAATAAAAATGCGACATTTAAGGAAGTAAATGGTAGCTGGGAACTAGCCAATACCTGTTTGGAGGCAAGTGGGCAGGAGGAAGAAGTCTAGGGGACAGGGACAGCCTTGGCAGAGCTATATTTAATCATGTATTTCCCAAGATGCAGGCCTCACCTTTTCACAAACTCTTCAAAGAGGATGCGGTGGGAATAGCCCTGCTGGCGGATGCTGACCGTCTCCAGGATCCCCGTGGAGCGGAGCTGGGCCAGTACTCTTTCTCGGGAGAACTTAAGAGCCTCTCGGTCATCGTTGGGTTTGATGCAGCGCACAAAGTGGGGCTGTCCAACCACCATTTTGGAGAGTAGATCCATCAAAGAATACTACCAGGGGAAAAAAATGCACATGGAATAAGTTACCACAAACGCAGCAGATAATTACAACACGGGACTGCAGGGGCCTCCAGAGCAGTTTGTTCATAAGTGCTTAAACAACTCAAGGACCTTTTTGAGGTCAGAAAAGAAACCAACAACAGAGGATAATAACATAAGTTCTGACAAGTACTTATAGCTGACTGCAGATTCAAAAGCATTCTTTAAACATCACCTAGTGCCAAGCAATATCCCCATGTGGCAGAAACTTAGCTGTCTAAGAACATGCTTAGGTCACTCCATAACTTCATCACCAGAACTAGCTTGTCTCTGGTATTCCAAGGTGATACTCCAGAAATTGTGTCTGTCATTTAAAATTTCAAGCTTTTAGAGAGGGAATCAGTTGCTTCTTGAAACTAAGAACTACCAGAAAGTCTAAGCAGATCCTACTGATACCACTGGTAAGAAGGCAGAGGAAAAAAAAACATTGAAAGAGGGCAAAGAAAATAAGAAAACTGGAGGAAAAGAAGAAGATTATAATGAAGATGAGCTAACATACATTGAGTGGCTGGCACAGGGCTCTCAAAGAGAGCAAGCGTGGAAAAGCAGAGGGGTGCTTGGGCAGGGGTGACCTCAGGTGCTCCTCAGGGGCATTCACTTTTGGAGCTCCTCTTTTGGACAGGCCTTCAGGGGTAGTTACAAGCCACCCAGGAAATCAGTCCCATTATTTCATAATTATACCTCCTACTGATCCAAAATGGTGTTACCTAGCTTGCCTGTGTACCTATTTCTCAGATTTTGCATTTGGGGACCAGTATTTCGAGGACACTAGGTTGTCATGGATATTTTTCTGAAAAACTATATGCTGGAGGCTTCTTTTACTGAAAGAGGGACTCTAGGATCTTGAGGATGACTTCACAGAGTCCATCAGAGCCTCCAAATCCCATGGGACACACACACAAACACACACACACACACACCCCTACTCATTAGGAGGATACAGCCACTAAAGGGGACAGGACGAGAATGGATCTCAAGATAAGAAGTAAATGGCAATTAGAAATGTCAACCACAGAAGTGACGAAGCAGGGGCTGAATATCCACCTGCCAGAGAAGCTGTAGCAGGAATCACTGCATGGATGGAGTGCTGCACTTGAAGGCCTCTGGACCTCTGCAATTCATACCCTCTGAGCCCAAGTCTAGCCTGCCTCTGAAGCACGGTTGGCTAGGTCAGACTTCTTGGCTTTCCATGGAGCCTTCTATCCATGATGCTGGCTCTCAGGTCCTGCCCTTTAGCCTGCCTGGCAATTCTAGCTCACAATCCACCTGACCTCCCATCCCTACCAAGCCCCTTCTCACGGCGACCTCGCCTTACAACTTTACTTTGTTGTCCCTGAGATCAGTAGTTCCATCTTTGGCCTAACAGCATCTCCAACGTGAAGCTGCCTGGACCTTAGTTCCCAGTGGTACAGGATCTCTAAGGGGTTTCCAACCCCAATGCTTTATAGCCTGAAGATAAACAAATCTGTGTAAATTGGTACAAAGCATTTGTGTCTTATCTTTCCTAATAATGTGCATTTAACAGAACCATTCCACAGACAATGTTTTTACTCAAAGGAGTCATTTTACCAAATGAAATATCAGAAATTGCGGCAGTAGAGATGGGAAATAATTAGGGTCAGGAAAATGTGTCTTGCAATGGGTCAATTTGATCTTCAAAATAAAGTCAAAGCTAAGACAGATTGTCTCAGGACCTGAACTTGATAATCCACCTTCTGGAATTTTACTAACTACTTTATTTTTCAGTAAATATGCAGGAAAAGTAGCTGACTCCGGTAGCTTTAAGGCCAAGAAGCAGCTCAAACTCTAACAGAATCAGCACATTCAATGGACAGGGCTGTGCACCAGTGGCAGAGAGGGCCCTCTGTAGACACTTGGGATTTCATCTGATCTTTCTGAGATCAGAGAACATTGTACTCAGAGACAGGTTCCCTACTATAACGTTTCTCTCCCCACACCTCCACGCTTTCTTAACTGACTCTTGTGCTTTGCTCTTGTTTCAATGACTTTATTATATCTGGACTTCTCCTAGGAAGAGCTGGCAAGTCCTTTCTGGAAGTAGGCAGAATAGAGATCAAGAAGACTCCATACCCGGAAGTAAGAAGCCATGGTCTGCCTCTTCATGTTGGTCGTTTCTTCTGGATGCCGTATCACCTCCAGAGTGTCCACCTGGAGCATGGGCAGAGGGAAGTGGTTTGAAGATATAAGCAATTCATTTTCCGGCTTTTCCAGAATTTGAAAGGCTATTTGGTCAAATATCTGAGGGACCTTGATATTTAGGACACAATTGTGCATACTATGGGCAGAAGTTGTAAAGACATATAAACTGTGGGGAGAAATTTTTAAAACACATAAAAGAAAAAGAAAATTTGTACCATTCTACTCACTTGACAATAACCACACTCTGCAAAGTACCATATGGTCTTAGTATAAACCTTCATCAGTATTATTTCTATACTTCTCCATATTCTAATGAGCCCCTACTAAGTTCTCCAATAATGTCACATGAGACCAAAGTATTTCTTAAAAGAAAACTGGGCAATGACCCAAGAGGCTAGGTGATTATAAAGACATGGGCCCAAAGGCCAGGTTGAACCACACGGAATTAGATGAGCTCCGGTCACTTTCCTGCCATCAGACCCTGATGCTGCCCCACCCCTCCTGTTCCCTACAGTTCCCACATGGTCACTGGAGACAGGAACTTGGGATACACCCGTTCCCAATCATCTGTCTGAACCACCTGGGCTGACTGGAAGGAATTTATGAATGAAAACAATTGTAGGAATCAATTACAAGCAACCTGTGTTTTGTTATTGCACCTCAACAACAAAAACCCTGTTCCTGTACACACGAATCTATTTGGTTTGCCGAGTGCATGAGTGGCACTTCAGCACTGGCCTCCACCATAGCAGCCTCCCATCTGCTCTGAACAGGTGGCATGGGTATGGAGCAGGAATGTTTGAACTGGAAGATGCTGCTGTCAGCACGTGTGTTCCGCTTGGTGGACTGCTATCTAGGCAGCCACCTCCCCGTGGCGTGAGGATGTCTGCAGCCTTGTTCAACAAAAGTGGGTGCTAGAAGGGACAGGGGCATAGGGAGGGGGACAAATAATGAGACTTTCCTCGAGGGGTAGTTAGGAGGCTGTGTGCAAAATGGAAGCAAATGCTTCAATTTGCTTGGATTAAAAAAACAGGTTTATTTAAAAAGCGGAATAAACGGAGAGTTAAGTTTTCAAAAACCAGAAAAGCAACCTAAATAGTAAGTAGGAATATGAGGATATCTCTGAGGGAAGCGATGTCAGGGGCAGCACAGTCTTCTTCTGGGCTGCAGACTGGATGCATTCCCAAAGCCATCAATTCATTTGTATGCAGCGGAAGCAGTGGTCCAACTGCATGTAGGTTTTATTTTTTTATTTTTTTAATGAGAAAGGAGGAAATCAAAGCTCTATGTTTAAAAGGAAGGCTGCTCTAATAAAGAAAAGAGAAAAACAAACACAACATCCCTTCCCCTCCTGCAGAGATCGCACTGCACTCTCCCCACCGTCAATCTGCCAGGACCACACTGAAGGTTTCTTTCCCCATCGTAGCCCTGCTTGGAGGACAGAGCCCAGAGCTGGTGAAGTTTGGGGCAAGCTAATCAGGACCAAAGGAAAGATTTTGGCTAGGGTGTGCCTTTAGCCGGACTGCAAATTCTGAGTTTGCTTAAACTTTTTTTCTCCTTATTCCCCCACACATACTTGAATTTCACACACACACACACACACACACACACACACACACACCCCTTTTAGGAATTTCCCCACAACTTCCTTTCCTTCAGAGATCCTCCCTGAAGAACCACATCTTGCTTTGAACCTTGCTTTTCCTCCTTAATTTCCCTCCCTTTTTATTCAAATTAGCCAGTGAGTACCAGTCCCTCAGGCTCACACTGTGAAAGGGCAGGTGAAAAGCTCATCGTCTTTTTCTTAGTAGTAGAATTTACCTGTTAGTTTCCCTCAAAACATACAATGAACTCTTGCATTTGAGAATGTAACAGTTTAGTAATCAGAAAATCCTTGATGTATATCAATTCTGCTGAGACACAACTTAAATAATATGTATTATTTTCAAGATCAGTACCCGTCTCCTGCAGCAAACTAGAAAAATATAGAATTTGCACTCTAAAAGTTATAAGGCTGGTGGGCTCCCCTGTCTAACCACCCAGCATGACTTTTAAGTTCTGTCTTTGTACTCACATGCAGAGCAACTATAGGAAGTAAGTAAAAACCTGTTCTGTATTATATACAACATGGAAATGTTAATACTTGTCTGCAGCCATCACCTACACAGATTTGGTGCTGTATTTTAAAGAATAAATAATACACTATCAGGGTATTTTCTAATTTAAGAATTTGGAAAGGTCTTGGGTTGGTCAAGGGTCTCTTGTATTTTTGTTTAGTCACAAGGTTCTTCTGAATACAGAGTGGATCTAAAACAGATCCAGAAGTTGACTCTCTTGGCCCGTCAAACTAGGAGACCTCTGCACCAGGCCTACCATGAACTCCAAAGAACTCCAAAAAATCAAAACCAGAAGAGATGAGAAGGTTGTTGTCTAACCTAAGAGTTTGTCTTGCAGGGCTAATTTAGTTAATAGTAGCCTCATTTAATTAAAAAAAAAAAAAGTCTCAGAAACAATCCAGAAAGTAGATTCTATTAGGGGCATCATCTAGCAAACACCTCTTCCCAAAGGTATGGATTTCACAAGAAAAAAAACAGTCTTCTCCAAAGTATCTTTCAAGTTTTTACATTAGATAGGAGGAAACAAGACTAGAAAAGAAGACCACGGAGTTTTAGAATCAGACACACCTGGTTCAAATTCTGGAGATCCCACGTACCAGCTGTGGTCTTGTACTTGTTATTTTCTATTTATTTTTTTGGTGAGGAAGTTTCACCCTTAGCTAATATCCATTACGAAGCTTCTATTTTGTAAGTGGGATGCCTCCACAGCACGGCCGATGAGTGGAGAAGGTTGGCACACAGGATCTAAAGCTGTGAATCCGGGCCGCCAAAGTAGAGCATTCGGAATGTTAACCACTCAGCCACAGGGCCAGCCTCCCTTGGACTTCTTATTTAACTTTTCAAAGCCTCTGCTTTCCTCATTAGTAAAAGTGGTTAACAAAAACTAGTGCCTTGCACACATGCAGGAAGTAATGTCAGTTCCCCTTTCATCATTACTGTGCTGGATTTAGTTTTAGTTTAATGATTGATATCAAGGATGAAGAGCTATCTTCAACAGCAGAAGGTGAGTACTAGCACCCAGGGAACACATCAAGGAGATCTTTTTATTTATTGGCAGAGAAAATACTCCCAATGAATCTAATTTCAAAATGATCAGTAGAACAGATATTCTGGATAAAACCACTGTCTGTCTAACCCAGTATACCTTCCTCCTACAACACCAATTTATGCAACAATATACGTCAACTGGAGCTGAGCAAGCTTGCTTTCTGCCTACATGCCAAATGTCTGTGTGATTCCTTGTAAGAGGTACTGGTTAGCCTTCAAAGTAGTCATGAGTAAGCTTTACAAATTGTGGTACAGACCCCAAGGAAATGAGCAAGCTTCTGTACACACATGGACTCCACACATGGCATTTTAGATGGTTATCAAAATGTTAGTAATAAAACATTATTTACAATGTGAAATCACTGTGTTAAACACTTTGCCTACATTATGTCATTGAATTCTCAAAACAACCCTATGAGGTAAGTACTATTATTCCCATTCTACATATGAGGAAATTACAGCTCAGAGGTTTTAAGTATATTTCCCAGAGTCTTGCAGCTAATAATTGGCCGTGCCCAGATCTGAACTCAGTTCTGTCTGATTCCAAAAGCTTCCCTGATAAAAATTATATACTGCTTTTCTGTGCAGTTTGATACAACTTATAAAATCAGTCTGAAAGCATGATATTATTAAAAAGATTTGCCTCATCTGTCAACTAAATTTACTCTAGGATAAAGACATAGACTCCAAAAAGTCTCATAAACCAGCTAGAGTTCAGCAATAAAAGAAAAAAGTGAAAGATTTTTTCCTGGTCTCAGTAAGTGCCCACTATTTGCATCCTGAAACATCAGAAGTGCTTATATTTATCTTCTTGACAAGGCCTTTTGTCAAAAATTTTTACTGCTATCAAGTGATCCATCCATACCTTAAGGAAAAAATCCCTACAGCGTCACTCCTCTCAAAAGCCTCCATGGGAAAGCAAGACTCGCACTGACACCCGGCCAGGTGAGCAGTGCTGAATGTGTTGGGTGCCAGCTTCCTATAAGGCCACCTCTGTTATTTTATCTTAGATAAGGCAGAGAGGAACTGGTGGAGGATTTTTTTATTGCTGTTGCTACCCTTCATATTCTTCAATGCCTTAATTATAACTTTTAACTCACCTCCCTTCCAAGTGAAAACAAATCTCTAGTCATTTTCGTCTCACCTATATACATTATTATTATAGTTATGCACCTCATAATGATGCTTTGGTCAGCAACAGGCTGCATATACAACAGTGTTCCCATAAGATTAGTACCTTATAGCCTAGGTGTGTAGTGGGTTATACCATCTAGGTTTATGTAAGTACACTTTATGATGTTCACATAACTATGAAATTGTCTCATGATGCATTTTTCAGAATGCATCTCCATCAAGCAACGCATGACTGTACACTGATGGAAATACACACCATACACTAGAGGGCACACTTTTCACATAGGCAGGACCTGAACAATTGCAGACAGTGCAGGAAAGGAAGTAACACTGCACTGGTGTTCTGAGTGTGGAAAGCAGGGGAACTACTCCTGGCAGAGTCCAGTAGTCAAAAAATCTAATTGAGGAAAGGAGGGGAATATGGATGACAGAGAATATTAACAGAGTCTTTCATCTTTTTGCATCATGATCCCTTTTAGAATCTGGTGGAAACCAATGACTCCAAAACACATATATACAGTTGATCCTCATTATTTGTGGATTCTATATTTGTGAATTTGCCTGCTAGCTAAAATTTATTTGTAACCTCAAAATCAATACTTGCAGTGCTTTCACATTTGCAGACATGCAGAATGGTGAAACATTTGAGTCACCTGATGCACGTATTTCCAGCTGAGGTTGAACAAGGTGACAGTCTGCCTTCTCGTTTCACCTCTCATGCTGTAAACAAATGTTTATTTCGAGGTCTATTTAAGCGCCACATTTTTTGCACTTTTGTGCTTTTGGCTGGTGATTTCACTGTTTAAAATAGCCCACAAGCATAGTGTTGAAGTCTGTCTAGTGTTCCTAAGTGCAAGAAGGCTATGATGTGCCTATTGGAGAACATACATTTGTTAGATAAGCTTTGTTCAGGTATGAGTTATAGTGCTGTGGACCAGTTGGATGACATAAATACTGTAATTGAAATGTTGTTTTATATAAAGAAATACTGCACATAATTAATTATTTGTAAGAAATACAAGTTAAATAAGGTGTCTTTAAATAGGAACACATATAAAACAAGGTTATATATTAATCAGTTGACAAAAATGTTGTGACCAGAAGATTGCAGGAACCTAACCATGCGTTTCCACTAGGAGCATGCTTCAGTACCTGCTCATTCAGTGTTCATAGTGACTTTATAGAACATAACGTTCATGAATAATGAAAATCAACTGTATTTAACACAAACAAAAGTTACATGTAATATCAAAAGGCACTCAGAACCACTGAAACTCCTATGCAAATCTCTTCTAGGGGCCCATGTAACCCATGTTAAATAGTTCTGCTAGCTTGCCACAAACTTAGAACGTTGAAAAGTAGAGGATTACACCAGATTGAAATATCAATTTGGGTGTAAAAATTATTGATAACAAAAACCATCTGAGTCACTGTTATGTGAAAGTAAGTCTTTTATTCTCAGAGGAAATAAGTATAGATATGTACATCTGTATCAATTTTTGGATAATATTCAATAGTATTATGTGTGGCAGAACTGCTTATTCTTTACTAAATAAATTATTTAATATTCAATGTAAACAAAACGATAAGAAAATTCAGAGATGTGACCTGTTTATTTTATTACTCCATCACCTTCAAGATAATTGTTTTTTGTGTTAGTATATGTGATGGACATTAACCATCTAGTCCTTGAGATCCTTGCTAAACATTAGCTGGAAGGATGGAACAGTTAAAAATATTTTCAGCAGGATATTTATTAACCCTCCTAACAACCCCTTGCACAGACAAGCGCACCGCTCATTTTCCAGAGGGTAAAGTGGAATGACAGGAAAGGGTTTGGTTTCTGTCCTCCCTGCTGACTCCATTTGGTTCCTGCTATTGTCCTCTGTAGGACAGTGACAGCCTCAATGAAAAATGCTCTATTTCTTCCTAGATGGACTTTATTTTCAAGTGTCATTGTTTTGTATCTTAAGCAGTCTTTCTGAGAATCAGGTGAAGGGGTCCAAAATATGCCACAGTGGCATAGGAATTATTTTGAGCTGAAGACATTTGAGAATCAACAGTTGCAAGAAGTAGCTTTTTCTGAACTCCTCTTAGGTGCCTAAAAACAGAGCTTCCCAAAAGAATTCAATTGTCATAAATGCCCTCCCTAGCAGTTTCACAACCAGGGAAGACTGACTCCTATCACCAGAGACAAGAAGTCAGCACTGGGATAAGGAATTACCAAAACAGACATTATCACAAAACTATACTACTTCCCATCTATTCTCCTACAGGACCACTTATTTTTCCCAAAGGCCATTTGTTCTCCTGGAAGTATCCTTCTCCTCCTCTTTATCCTCTACTAAGATGGTAGATAAGCCCCATGTTCTAGTGGCCCCTTTGAAGGACTTTTTTTGTGAACTCTTGTACATATATGATTCAAATCTGTTTTTTCTCTTGCTAATCTGTCAGTTTGAGTTTAATTCATAGGACTCCAACTACGGAACTTAAGAGGGCAGAGGAAAAGTTTTTCCTCCCCAACACAGGATTTACAAGGATTCCATGATGTTCTTTCAAATTTCCTAATCCCTGATTCCTAAATGCCTTGAATCTCTTTTCCAGATTGCCCAGGTAGTGGGCCAGATAAAGGGAACTAATGTTGCCCATGCCAGGATTATCCCCAAGGCAGGAGTACCCAGTAGACCACATTATTTTCAGCACAAACCTGCTACTCACCTTGGCTCTCCCAGCACTGAAATGTGGAGGCAAAGATCTTGAGGCTGCTGTTATCCTGGCTCTTGTTTGGGCCAAGTTACCTGAGCAAAAAAGACAAAACAGTTAAATTGAAGGAAATGTTAAAGAATAGGATCATGAGTAATTTTTCCCTTGTGCCCTTGTATTTTTCTGAATTTTCCAAATGATCTGATCTGAATTTGAAAAATTTGGAAAATTTTGAAACTTCCATGATATAAATTATTTAAAATAATAATAATTATTTATAAATTATTTGCAAATAATTTCTCATATAATAGAATTTATATTAGTATCATAAGCAAAATAAAAACAAAAAAAATTCACTCAATAAACTAGAAATAGAAGGAAATTACCACAACATAAAAATGCCATATATATGAAAACTTCACAACTAACATGCTCAATGGTGAAAAACTGAAAGTTTTTCCTCTAAGATCAGGAACAAGGCAAGGATTCTTACTCTCACCACTTCTATTCAACATAGTACTGGCAGTCCTAGTTAGAGCAATTAGGCAAGAAAAAGAAATAAAAGGCATCTAAATCTGAAAGGAAAAAGTAAAATTATCTGTCCACAGGTCCCATGATCTTACATGTGGAAAATTCTAAGGATCTCACAAAAAAACCTCTTAGAACTAATAAATGATTTTAGCAAAGTAGCTGGTATAAAATCAACAGACAAAAATCAGTTATATTTCTATACACTAACAACGAAAATTTAAAAAGGAAATTAAGAAAACAATCCCATTTACAATAGCACCAAAAAGAATAAAATACTCAGAAATAAAGTTAATGGAGGCAAAAGACTTGTACACTGAAAACTACAAAACATTCCTGAAAGAAATTAAAGAGGACACAAATAAATGGAAAGACATCCTGTTGTAGGGGAGGAAATAAATATTTTTCCTTTATCCATCTTAGGTTCACTGGCTGGAGCCCTTCAAATTGAACTGAGAAAAGAAAGATTAACAAGTGAAAAACAAATGCAAGTTTATTAACCTATGCATCACAGATACACATGGGAGTACTCAGTGGTGAGTAACTCAAAGGGGCAGTTAGAACCTGGGCTTATATAGCATCTTAACAAAAGAAGAACAATACAATTGTAAAGAAGTGACAAGACCAAGGAAAAGAACTTTGAATTTCTACGGGCAGTAAATTGTAGGAAGGTAATCATACACGGAAGCTAACGTTAAGTTAAAGGTTAGTTAGTAAAGTTTGTTATATAGATTCCTCTGGAGCTGTCTCTGGGTGATAAGGGTCTAGAGTTATCTCTGGTTAACTTCTGTCCTTCCCAGTAGAGAAGAGAGGGGGGACATCTTTACAAATTTATATCCTGCTTTTAGGCAAATAGGGGAAGGGTAATGAGCTTTTCTTGTATCTGCTTCTTCTCAATTGCATTCAGCTCAAAATAATCCTTATGCCAAAGTGGCAGATTTGGGGGTAGTATATTCTGCTACTCTTCACCTTATTCATGAATTGGAAGGCTTAATATTTTTAAAATGTCCATACTACCCAAAGAGAACTACAGATTCAATGCAATCTCCATCAAAATCCCAATGGTATCTTTTGCAAAAATAGAAAAAAAATCCTAAAATTCATATGAAACCTCAAAGGACCCCAAAGTGCCAAAACAATCTTGAGAAGGAAGACAAAAGCTGAAGGTGTCACACTTCCTGATTTCAAAATATATTATAAAGCTACAGTAATCAAAACAGTGTGGTACTGGCAGAGGGACAGACATACAGACCAATGGAACAGAATTGAGAGCTCAAAAATGAACCCACATATATACGGTCAAATGATCTTTGACATGGGTGCCAAGACTACACAATGGGGAAAGGACAAATGGTGTTGGGAAACTAGATATCCACATGCAAAAGAATGAAAATAGACCTTTATCTTATACAATATACAAAAACCAATTCAAATGGATTAAAGACTTTACTTGTAAGACCAGAAACTATAAAACTCCTAGAAAACATAGAAGGAAAGCTTCATAACATCTTTCTTGGCAATGATTTCTTGGACAGGACACGAAAAGCGCAAACAACAAAAGCAAAAATAGAGAAGTGGGACTACATCAAACTAACAACTTCTGTGCAGCAAAGGAAACCATCAACAGAGGGAAAAGGCAACCTACCAAATGTGAGAAAATACTTGCAAACCATATGTCTAATAAGAGGTTAAAATACATAGGGAACCCCTACAACTCAACAGCAAAATATAAAATAAAATAACCTGATTAAAAAAATGGGCCAAGACTTGAATAGACATTTCTCCAAAGATTACATACAAATTGCCAACAGGTATGGAAAAAGATGCTCACCATCACTAACAATGAGGGAAATGCAAATCAAAACTACAATGAGATATCTCCTCATGCCTGCTAGGGTGGTCATTATAAAAAGCAACAACAATAACAACAACAATAGAAAATAACAAGCGTTGGTGAGGATTTGGAGAAAAGGGAACCCTTGTGCACTGCGGGTAGAAAACAGTGTGGAAGTTCTTTAAAAAATTAAAAATAGAACTAGATATGATCTAGCAATCCCACTTCTGGGTTTTATCCAAAAAAATTGAAAACAGAATCTTGAAGAGATATTTGCATGCCCATGTTCATTGCAGCATTATTCACAATAGCCAAACAGTGGAAACAAACTATTCATCAAAGGACGAATGGGTAAAGAAAATGTGGTATACACATACAATGGAATATTTATTCAGCCTTAAAAAAGAAGGAAATCCTGCCATTTGGGACAACATGGATGAACCTGCAGGACATTATGATAAGTGAAATAAGCCAGTCACAGAAGGACAAATGCTGCATGATTTCACTTACATGTGGTATCTAAAGTAGTCAAATTCACAAAAGCAGAGAGCAGAATGTTGGTTGCTGGGGGTTGGGGGACACAGGGAAGCGGGGAGGTGCTTTCAATGGGTACAGGGTTTCAGTTATGCAAGACGAAAAAGTTCTAGAGATCCGCTGTACAATAATGTGCATATAGTGAACAATACTGTACTGTACACTTAAAAATTTGTTAGGAGGGTAGATTTCAGGTTATATGTGTTTATCGATTTTAAAAAGAAGTCTCCTACTAGGGCAGTGCTAGTCATTGAAAAAGATGGACATAGAAGAAAAAAGATGTTGGCAGTTTCCCTGAAAGAGAGGTTGGGCAAGAAGTTGTGAAGGCTTAATACATAGACATGGATGAGGAGATCTGGCTGTACGGGTCTCTCAGCATGCAGGGAGGAACCAGCCACTCACAGGGACCAGAGGATAAAAAGAGCTTGGCAGCAGCCTCGGAATCCTGGGAGCTGACCAGTCTTTTCATTTGTCAGGGGCATGACCTTGAACAAGTTAATTAACATCTCAGAAGCTCAGTTTCCTTGTCTATAACATGAAGATAATATTACCTAATTCTCAGAGTTGTTACGGGCAATCAACAGGATAATTCATGAAAAGCTCTGTCAGTATGGACTGGTACAAGGTAAGTGCGCACTTCATCTTAGCTAGCATTGATGAAGATGATGGTGGTGGTGATGGTGGTTGTTATAATTATCGTTATTATTATTTGCTGAGAACAGTTCACATAGGTCTCAAAGCAGAGTGGAAGGCAAGAGAAGACCAGGGAATCTCACTAATTTGCTGCTGTGAGCTCTGTATGGTCAAAAACCAAATGAAAGATGAGAAAAAAATGATAAGGCAACTCCCCTTTGAACCTCGATCTCTTGGCCACTCTGATTCCTCTGCTTTTTATCTTCGAAGGGTTTGAACGGCCTGCTCAAACTCTTCTCTCCTCACCACTCATCCACCCTTCACCTCCTCTCTGACATCTCCCCTCCCAAACCAAGTGCATTAAGAGAACTGTTTGCATTTTTACCTACAATGTCATTCGATTCTGTAGCAAAATAAAAAGTTGTCAATGAAAGGAAGTGCTGCAATTTGTGCTTATGCGAGACACTCAAGATTTCAAAGTTTTTAGCAAGTCTAGCAGAAAGATGTCCAAATGTTTTCTCTGGCGATATCTTCAGAGGCTAAACTGTGATTAATAGCCCAGAAAGAACCCTTTGAAGCAGGATTGGTGACATCAAAGTCGTAATCCAGGGGTGGCAGGAGCTTTATAATGAGTGGGAAGCATTTTAACACATTTCAAAGGATTTACAGCATGAATAAACAATAGACCTCAGCAGATGCACCACACACACCTTGCAGAAACATAATGCATAAGAAGTTTCCATTTTAATTTAAATGTAAATACAGTGTTCATACTTCTTTCAAATGTTAACCATCCTCAGTCCTTCACCCCTAGATGGCCTCTTCAGCTAAGGATGTCTCATTGCCCCAGAGCACCCTCCTGTGCTTCCTGAAACTGTGACTACCCACATGTGTCGGAGAGAAAACAGAAGCCAGAGGCTTCTGATGGAATTTATATCCTATGTGGGAACTGGGTTAAGAAAGAATCTGAAATGGAGCTTCCAGTGATCCCACACAATTTCCCTGCTTCCAACTTAAAGGGAAGGAGACAAACGATCTGAAGACAGAGCAGCAACTTTTAAAAGATGGCAATTTCCTGCTTGCTTCAGAGGATTTTCAACTCTTGGAAAGTACCCAGCACCCATGATTTCATCAGTCGCCTCTTAAGAACTGCCCAGAATGATGGGTTGCTGTTTTAAATAATCAAGCATAGAATTCGGCTTCCCTCTGCTGCCCGCTCCGGGTTTACAGGATTTGTTGCAGGGTTCCCATGGTGACTGCTGGTGGGTATCTGTCTGGAAAATTTTCCTGTTTTAATTTTCCCTAACACGAGAAATAGGCTAATAAGCTAATAAAGATTGCAAAGTAATGCTGAAACGTAAAAGGCTTGTGTCAAAATGCTACAAAGAAAAGAGAGCTGCAAACAAAAACTCAAATGCTTCAGTTCATCTGTTATCTGAGTAGACGGGAGAACTGAAACCATGTACCCTATAGTCAGCTTGGATACTGAGAACTGAAATCACACCTTACTGTCCACATGAAAATGCCCTTGTGCTATTCCTGTCTCCGTTAGCATGAATTCCTTTT